TCCCACACAACCCCAACCAGGGTTTGGGGATGAATGGCAACCGAAGTATGTGCCCTTAACCAGAATCAAACTCACAACTCATTTGTCCACGGGTCGACGCTCTAACCACTTAGCAACACCAGCCAGGGCTATCTTCACCTTTTAAAGCTGGGGGTTGCCCTGGCTGGCTGGTTTGGCTCAGCAGTTAGAGCATCAGCCCGCAGACCGGAGATTCCCAGGTTTGGTTTCAGCTAAGGGCACGTACCTCGGTTGCAGTTTATCCCCAGCCCCGGTTGGGGTGTGTGTGGGTGGCAATCACTCGATATGTCTCTCTCACGTCGTTGTTTCTCTCTCTCTCTTCCTCTCCCCCTCTCACTCTATCTGAAGATAAATGCAAAAGTGTCCTTGGTGAGGATAAAAAATAAATAATAAAGCTGGGGGTCAAGAGACACACAATACAATATATAGATGATGTGTATTACAGAACTATACACCTGACACCTATATAATTATAGTAACCAATGTCATCCCAATAATTCCATAAAAAATTGAAAAAGAGTCCGGCCGGTGTGGCTCGGTGGTTGAGAGCATCGACCCATGCACCAAAAGGTCGCCGGTTGGATTCCCCGTCAGGGCACATGCCCAAGTTGTGGGCCCGATCCCCAGTGGGGGGCATGCAGGAGGCGACTAATCAATGTTCTCTCTCATTGATGTTTCTATCTCTACCTCTCCCTTCCTCTCTCTCTAAAAGTCAATCAATAAAGGAAAAAAAAAATGAAAAAGAGACACCATCTATACTTGATAAGAAACAGGTGTAACTATATTATTTAAAAATGTAACAATAACCAACTTGAGAACTAAAAATGGTAATACATATTTTTGGAAACTAAGAAGAAAGGGAAATACGGGCTCTGAAAGTGTGTTAAACCTTTATCCATCATGAGAGGTCATTTAGAAAATATCTAAACCATATAAATTAAGAAATAACAATATATTATTTAAATATATAGCCTCTTTTGCCCTGGCCGGTTTGGCTCAGCGGTTAGAGCGTCGGCCTACGATCCAGAGAGACCCAGGTTCGGTTTCCGCTAAGGGCACGTACCTCGGTTGCAGTCTGTCCCTGGCCCTGGTTGGTCATGCAGGTGGCAGCCACTCGATGTGTCCCTTTCATGTCAATGTTTCTCTCTCTCTCTCTCTCTCTCTCTCTCTCTCTCTCTCTCTCTTCCTCTCTCTCCCTCCCTCTCTCTCCCTCCCACTCTATCTGAACAAAAAATGGAAAAATGTCTTCAGGTGAGGATAAAAAAAATAATAATAATGATAAAATAAATATATAGCCTCTTTTTATTTATTTTTTTATCCTCACCAGAGGATATTTTTGCATTTATATTGAAACAGCAAGAGGATAAGAGAGAGAGAAACATCAATGAGAGAGACACATCAACTGGCCACCATCCACAGAACCCCAACCGGGGCTGGGGACAAACTGCAACTGAGGTACGTGCCCTTAACGGGAACTGAACCCAGGACTCTCTGGTCCGCAGGCCAACTCTCTAACTGCTGAGCCAAACTGGCCAGGACTATAGCCTCTTTTTAAATGTTTTTTATTTATTTATTTTTTAGAGGGAGAGGAAGGGAGAGATAGAAACATCAATGTGAGAGAGAAACATTGATCAGCTGCCTCCTGCATGTCCCTCCCCCAACCAGTGATTGATTCTGAAACCTGGGCACATGCCCTGACTGGGAATTGAATTGGGATCTCTCAGCCCATGAGAGGATGGTCAATCCACTGAGCCACACCCGGCTGGGCTAAATATATAGCCTCTTAACTCATTTCCTGATTCTGCCTTTGCCTCTTCCCTACTCTCGTAGTTTAGTCTAGCCTCAATGGAGTTTCTTTGTAGTTCCTTAAACATGTCAGGCATGCTTCTACTTCAGGGTCCTTGCATTTCTGTTCCCTCTGCCTAGTATACTGTTCCCTAAGATACCTTTGTGATTGTCTTATTCTCTTCCTTCTACTGATTCTGTTTTCACCTGGTTTTGGTTTCCTTACTTCCTTGTAAGTGAATGCCACTCAGGCACCAGCTCAGGTATGGCTGTATACTCCTGACTCAAGGCTCACATATCTCAGTGGAAGTCATGTGAGCCATCTCATAACTCATTTCACAAATGGTCCACAAAGGCAAAGTCAAGACTCCAGACCATCATTTAATAACCCCCCCAGCCCTGGCCAGTTTGGCTCAGCGGTTAGAGCGTCGGCCTGCGGTCCGGAGAGACCCGGGTTCGGTTCCCGCTAAGGGCACGTATTTCGGTTGCAGTTTGTCCCCGGCCCTGGTTGGTCGTGCGGGTGGCAGCCACTCGATGTGTCCCTTCACGTCGATGTTCCTCTCTCTCCCTCCCACTCTATCTGTACAAAAAATGGAAAAATATCCTCGGGTGAGGATAAAAAAAATAAAATAAAATAAAAATAACCCCCCCAATCTTGCCTATTTATGTTAGAGAAAAGGCAACATTAATGTTTAAAAATGTCGAATTCAAAACACATTAATTCTCTATTCCCAAGAATTAAAGATATATTTATATTCTAAATAATGTTCTTGGCAGCATTATTAATCATAGCCAAAAAGTGGAAACAGCTCAAGTGTCCACTGATGGATGAATGGATAAACAAAATGTGGTATATATATAAAATGAAATATTTTTCAACCCTAAAAATGAAGGACATTTTAACACATGCTACAGCATGAATGAATCTGGCATACACTAAGTGAAATAAACTAGTCACAAAAGGACAACTATTCTATGATCCATTTATGTGAGATAGTCAAAAATCATAAGGAACAGGAAATAGAATGGTAGCTACTAAGGATTGGGGGAAAGGGGACTGGGGAATTATTATTTAATGGATATAGAGTTTCAGTTTTACTAGATGAAAAGTTTATGTGAATACTTAACACTATTGAACTGAACTGTACATTAAAAATAGTTTTGCCCTGCCTGCGTTGTGGCTTAGTGGTTGAGCATTGACCCATGCACCAAGAGGTCGCCGGTTGGATTTGTGGTTATGGCTTATGCCCAGATTGCGGGTCCAATCCCCAGTGGGGGCATGCAGGAGGCAGCCAATCGATGTTCTCGCTCATCAATGTTTCTCTCTCTCTCCCTCCCTTCCTCTCTCTCTAAAATCAATAAAGAAAAAAAGAAAAAAAAAAGCTACTGAAAATAGTTTAAATGGTATATTTTATATGCACACCAATGCCCCCACTCCAGTGCCCCTCATCTCCTGCCAGGGAGTTCACACAGCTCCAGCTGCCCACCCTAACAGCCTCCAACAGGTCCTTGTAAGGAAGTGGGTGTCCAGAAGTTTACACTACATCCTACTGTGCTCCCCTCCCCCCAAACTGGGAGGAAAGGCCTGTTTGTGCCCAAGTCTCGCCCTCAAAGTTTGCTTTATGCCCTGGCCGGTTTGGTTCAGCAGTTAGCGCATCCACCTGCGGTCTGGAGAGACCCGGGTTCGGTTCCCGCTAAGGGCATGTCCCTCGGTTGCAGTTTGTCCCCGGCCCTGGTTGGTCGTGCGGGTGGCAGCCACTCGATGTGTCCCTTTCACATCGATGTTTCCCTCTCTCTCTCTCTTCCTCTCTCTCCCTCCCACTCTATCTGTGCAAAAAATGGAAAAATGTCCTGGGGTGAGGATTAAAAAAAAAAAAAAAAAAAAAAAAAGTTTGCTTTAACTTGACTTCTTTTCTTTTTTTTTAAATATATTTTTACTGCCCGGCTGGTGTGGCTCAGTGGTTGAGCATCGAACCCATGCACCAAGAGGTCACTGGTTTGAATCCCAGTCACGGCACATGCCCAGGTTGTGGGCCCAATCCCCAGTGGGGTGCATGCAGGAGGCAGCCAATCGATGTTCTCTCATCGATGTTTCTACCTCGTCCTTTCTCTCTCTGTCTCTAAAATCAATAAAGAAAAAAACAAAAAATATATATATTTTACTGATAACAATATTACAGATGTCCCCCAACCCCCCCCTTTCCCTAGCTCTATTCCTTCACCACACTATTGTCACACTATTGTCTGTGTCCATTTAACTTGGCTTTTTTTGTTGTTAATGTTCACCCGAGGGTATTTTCCCATTGGTTTTTAGAGAGTGGAGGGGGGGAGGGGCAGAGAGAGAAAGAGAAAGAAACATGGATATGACATCCATTGGCTGATTCCCCGACTGACTGCAAGCGAACCAGGGCCCCTTGGCCTGGGCAGAGCTCTAACTGGTCAGGGCTAACTTGGCTTCTTAATGGCCAGGTGATCAGCGAGTCTCTTCTGTCTCCGCCTCTGACACCTCTTTAACCCAATTTAAGTGTACAACTTAATATCTTTTTAGTATACTTAAGTTGTGCAACTCTCACCAGTTCCATTTTAGAACATTTCCATCACCCCACTTAGCCTTTCTTTCTTTCTTGTTCATCCTCACCGGGGGATATTTTGAGGATTTCCCTCCCCATTGATTTTTAGAGAGTGGAAGGGAGGGAGGGAGGGGGAGAGAGAGAGGGGAACACCGAAGTGGGAGAGACACATCCACCTGATATGCCTCTAACGGGGCGGGATGGAGCCTGCTGACCGTTGGTCCACAGGCCGAGGTTCTAACCGCTCAGACAAACCAGTCAGGGCCCCACTTGGCCTTTCTGAGGCCCGGGATCTTCATCTACAAGTGGAATTCACATGAGCCTAGCACATAATTGACCACTATTTTACTTGCTGCCGATGGCCTGTTTTCAGATTTCTATCTTATCTCACCCGCGGCCGGGTCCCAGCCTCCGTGACAGCCGCAATCCAGGGCGTCACTGCGGGAGCGGAGGTGGGGCGGCCCACGAGAAGGCTCGGCCCACGGGTTAGGCCGCCCGCCAGGTCCCACGCTGGACCACCTGCGATCGCGCAATCGGGCCTCTCCAGGCGCCCTGGCTGCGTGGGCGGCGCGGCTCCGGGCTCGACTCGTGATGCCTGGAAGTTGCTGGCGCCTGCGCAGTGGGCAGGGTCGCGCTCGCTTGGCCGGGCTGTGGGAGATAACTCGGAGTGGGCCGCAGCGGTGCTGTGGCTCTTCTTGCCGGGCGGTCGCACCATGGCGGACGAGGAGCTGGAGGCTCTGCGGAAGCAGAGGCTGGCTGAGCTGCAGGCAAAGCACGGGGTGAGCGCGCCCGCCGCCCGTCCGGCCTGTTTTTCTGCGCGGCGCCGCCCTCGTCCCAGGTGGAGGGCTCGGCCCCAGGCGGAGGCTCTAGGCGCGGCGGCCGGTTGTCGGGCGGCAGGCGGTGAACCCGATTCGCCCCCGAGGCTGTCCGGGGCTCCTCTGCCTGTCGTGTGGGGTTTCGGGCGGCAAGCCGACCACGTGGTCCCGGGTGGGTCCGGCTCGAGGCCTCTCAGGCAGGGTTCGGCTCGCCCCAAAGGTCTCTCCTGGACCGGCGTTGGTCGGAAGCAAATCTTTAGCCCCCAGGGTCGCTGTACCCTTAGCTTTGGGATCTAGCCTGTTTCAAGTACTGGTTCCAGCGGAATTGTTTTCTAGAATTCTGACCCAAGTAACCGACTAACATTGGTTGAGGGTCTGAGGGTACAGTGGAGAGAGAGCATCCCATCTCCTGGGACCAAGAGACAGCCGCGGGGAGGAGCCAGACGCTAAACACTAAGCCCATAGATAGAATACTCAAGTAATGACCATGCTGTAAAGATGGGGAGAGGGCCCCGTAAGGCATGGAACGCGATCGGCTCCAAGGAAGTGCCATTCGAGTCATCAGCATCCCCAGTACCCAGCACCCCTCCCAAAATCAATTACTTCATAAAATACGGTTTCGTGGTACAGGGACTCCCCTCCTTAAAGGTTGTTGGTATTCTAAAACATTCTATTAGATTGTGACTTCAGAAGCTTACCAAAACATTTATTTTAAAAAATAATTGGTGTATTTTTTATTGATTTTGGAAAGGGAGAGACTTTAATTTGTTGTTCCACTTATTTATGCATTCATTGGGTTGATTCCTTTTTCTTTTTTTTTGGTACGTGCTTCTACCGGGAACTGAACCCGGGACACTCTAGTCCGCAGGCCAACGCTCCAACCGCTGAGCCAAACCGGCCAGGGCCTTTTCTTTTTAAAAAAATTTTTTTTCTTTATTGATTCTAGAGAGAGGAAGTGGGGGGAGAAACATGGATGAGAGAGAACATTGATTGGCCGCCTCCAGCATGCCCCCCACTGAGGATTTGGCCCACAACCTGGGCCTGTGCCCTGACCAGGAATCGAACCTGCCACCTCTTGGTGCATGAGTCGACTCTCAACCTCTAAGCCACACTAGTGGGGCCCCTTTTTTTTTTTAAATCCTCACCTGAGGATGTGCTTTTATTGATTTGAGAGAGAGAGAAACATTGGTGTTCGGTTGCCTACTATAAGTGCCCTGACAGGGATCAAACCTGAAACCTTTTGGTGTACCAGATGATGTTCCGGCCAACTGAGGCACCCGTCCAGGGCCACTGGTTGATTCTTGTATGTGCTGGTGACTGGGGAATCAAGCCTGAAAGGCATATTGGAAGGATGCGCTAACCAACTGACTATGGCTAGGCTCAAAATGTTTTCATAAGTGGAAACTATACAATTGACTTCTTGGAGGCCCAGGTTTTAATTATTTGACAATAAGTTGATCTCTACCACTGCAGGAGCCTGTTAGGTATCAGAAATAAAATGGAATATTTTCTGTTTTCCCTCTGCAAAATTACTAAAAGATAAAATTATTTTTTCAGGATCCTGGCGATGCAGCACAACAGGAAGCAAAGCACAGGTATGTGCTGGAGATCTAAAGGGTGGTTTCACCAAAGATGTATTTTTTTACTTTAGTAATTCTAATTATCTGTTAATTTAAGTTTTTCCTGGAATAGTGATTTTTCATAAATCATCAGGGTATCTATTATTTATGTGTTAAATAAATGTGTAGAATCTCACAGCACTTACTACTTTATACAATTACTGGTTGATGTTTCTCTTCTAAACTTTGTCTTAAAATGAGCATAATACTAGGACTACCTCATAGGGATGTTGTGTTACATAGGCCCGGTCCCTCACATTTAGTAAATGCTCGATAAATATTAACTGGTATACTGTTCTTATTGTTATTTTATCCCAGCACATGGCAGGTTTATTGAATGAATAGTTAGTGCTTGGCCAGGTGTGGTTCAGTGGCTGAGCATCAACCCATGCATCAAGAGATCGCAGGTTCGATTCCCAGTCAGGGAACAGGCCCAGGTTGTGGGCCAAATCCTCAGTGGGGGGCATGCAGGAGGCGGCCAGTCGATGTTCTTGTTCATCGATGTTTCTGTATCTTCCTCCCTCTCTCTTTTTCTGCCCCTCTCTCCCTCTCCCTCCCTCCCTTCTCTCAAGAAATCAGTGGAAAAAATATGGCTGAGTGAGGATTAACAATAACAACAAAAAATTGCTGCTACTTAAAAGAAAATTTGAAACCACTATCCTATGACGTGAACTCATTTCCGCTTGGATAGGTAGTAAGGTGCAAGGACAGTTGCAGAGTTATAATTTCACTCCCCCTCCCACCCAAAAAAGTAGAACTGAGAGTATTCAAACATGAGATTTTATTCTAACTTGGCCACAATTATATCCCTTATAGCTTCCTAGGTCTCAGCTTATTTTTATTTTTTTTATCCTCACCTGAGGACATTTTTTGCATTTATCTTCAGATAGAGCAGGAAGGAGAAAGGGAGGGAGGGAGGGAGAAACATCGACACGAGAGAGACACATTGAGTGGTTGCCACCCACAGGACCCCAGCTGGGGCCGGGGACAAACTGCAACCGAGGTATGTGCCCTTAGAGGGAACTGAACCCAGGATTGACTGGTCCACGGGCCGATGCCCTAACCGCTGAGCCAAACCAGCCAGAGCTCAGCTTCTTTATCTCTTAAGATAATTACATGGATTAATCATTTGGTGCTTTAATTGCCAGAAATCTTACTATAGATTTCTAGCACCTTTCACATACTAAATATGTAATAAATGTTGGTAGTGGTGATTGAACTGAAATTGCTATAAATTACGAAATTGTAACGTTTTACCTTTCAACCTGGTAGAATTACACCCCACACAATATAAAGGTGGCTTTTGAGGGCAAGAGTGGACTCTTCTATAACAGCTGCTGCCATCCACATAGCACCTACTGTAGCACTATCTGTGTATATATAACCTTCCATCTTGGGAAATGTATTGAGTGAGTTACATTTTCATGTGTGCAATAGGAATGCCGACAGCTTAATTCTAATTTTGCTTGACTTGTTTTTGTTGTAGAGAAGCAGAAATGAGAAACAGTATCTTAGCCCAAGTTCTGGATCAGTCAGCCCGGGCGCGGTGTAAGCATCTTCAGTTTCCTATATTTCCATAAGATTGGCTTGGGTTAGTTGAATGGGGAGGTATAAAATAATTGCTCTCTCTACATTAAGTATTTATTTAACATATAAACACTTAAAATATAGATACAGTATTTGTAAGAAATGTGAAGTTGATAAACCCAAAGAAATGGACTTAAATTATTATTATTATTATTATTATTTTTTTATCCTCACCCGAGGACATTTTTCCATTTTTTGTTCAGATAGAGTGGGAGGGAGAGAGAGGAAGAGAGAGAGAGAAATATCTCGATGTGAAAGGGACACATCGAGTGGCTGCCACCCGCACGACCAGCCAGGGCCGGGGACAAACTGCAACCGAGGTACATGCCCTTAGCGGGAACCGAACCCGGGTCTCTCCGGACCGCAGGCCGATGCTTTAACCGCTGAGCCAAACCGGCCAGGGCTGGACTTAAATTATTAAATGTACTGGCTTGGTTATCTCCTATCAAGGAGATAATCTCCCAAGTGCTTATTCAGTAAAATTAATTGGCAGCAAATCTTAAGTCAATTACAAAGTGTTGCTGGTAGTTGACATACGTGATAGGAGCTTGAGGGGTTTATTGTATTCTACGTGTTAATTAATGATTTTTCATAATTATAAGCCAAAGAGAAAACCATGTAGAGAAAAATTTAAATGAGCCAACTGGAATGAACTAATATCTTCTATATTGTAACTTGAAGCCCAGCTAAGAAAAGGCAGCCTTAAATGGATACTATGATTATATATGTAGTAATATATAACTTATTTTCCATAGGGCAGTCATATTTTTGTAAAAAGCATGGGGCGTAGACTCTGAGGACCCAAATTTAATCTTGGCTCTGCCACTACTTCTGTGTGGCCTTGACTGAGATTGACATGGCTGAACTTGAGTTTCCTCATTTTTAAGAGGGTGACAATACCTTCTGCCATCCCTACCTTACTAGTCTCAAGACATAAGTGCCCTGGCCAGTTTGGCTCAGCGGTTGGAGCGTCGGCCTGCGGTCCGGAGAGACCCGGGTTCGGTTCCCGCTAAGGGCATGTACTTCGGTTGCAGTTTGTCCCCGGCCCTGGTTGGTCGTGCGGGTGGCAGCCACTCGATGTGTCCCTTCACGTCGATGTTTCTCTCTCTCTCTCCCTCCCACTCTATCTGTACGAAAAATGGAGGAATGTCCTCGGGTGAGGATAAAAAAAAAAAAAAAAAAAAAAGACATAAGTAAGTCTGTGAAGTGCTTTGAAAATGTTGGTGCTTAATTTTAAGTTATAATGTAAATACATTTTGTTCTGACATCTTTTTGTACATATTTTTTTTTTTTTTAGTAAGTAACTTAGCACTTGTAAAGCCTGAAAAAACTAAAGGAGTAGAGAATTACCTTATACAGATGGCAAGATATGGACAACTAAATGGGAAGGTAAGCTAGGACTGCCTTGAGGCAGTTTTATCTGTTGTTAGCTACTTTGTCAAAACAAGTCTTCAAAAGGTCAGTTTCGCACTGGCCAGGTAGCTTAGTTGTTTAGAGCATTGTCCCAGTATGCCAATGTTTTGAATGGGCCTGGTCGGGCACATAAAGAATCAACCAATGAATGCATAAGTAAGTGGAACAACAAATTGATATTTCTTTCTCTCCTCTAATTTTAAAAATAAAAATTAAAATATTACCAGTGTAGGTAGATATTAAGCTTGTTTTGCAAATGAGGATGTGCTAAAATTCCTGGTGATTATGTGTGTTGCTGTGATGCCATGATGGGTATATTCTTGCAAGACTGTCCTTCAAGATGCAAACACGCCCCACCTGCACAGGAAGCCCTCCGATGCCACCATAGCCTGCAGGGATCAGTCCTGCCCTGAACCCCTTACACTAAGAATGGTGTGTGGAAGAGACAATTACATCTTTTTTAAGTGACTTATATCTTGCATTTAAGCTTCTCAGGGTCTCAAGGGTAGAGGTGGTGTCCCTATCACTGACACAACAGGGGTGTAGGTGATTGTCTTTGTTCTTAAATACCTGTTAACTTTGGGTTTTTCTGAGGATACTCCCCCCACCTCCTCAAATGACTAGCAGAGCAAATTCTACTTGGAACTGAAACTAATACAGGTATACCTCAGAGATACTGCGAGGTTGGTTCCAGACTACTGCAGTAAAGGGAGTCAATATTTTTGCTGGAGGGTCTTGTCTTCACTTTGTAAAATGTGCAACAGCTGTGAAGTGCAATAAAGGGAAGCATGATAAAACGAGGTATGCATGTAGTTATAATCGGGAGTTTCAGCCTCCTGTCCCACCTGTCCTTCCCTCTTGACCTCCACCCTGAAAAACTAAAATGATTCAATCCGCTGAGGTCAGTTCTTTGTTCACAAAAAGTACTGTTTTTCTTTCTGGCTATCCTAGGTAACAGAACAAGGTTTAATAGAAATCCTTGAAAAAGTAAGCCAACAAACAGAAAAGAAAACCACAGTTAAAGTAAGTTTCCTCAAATGCACAGGGCAAAAGAGAAAGGTTGTTATTTTAAATGTGTTGAATATACATCTGCTGTATCAAAACATGTTTCAGCCCATAGACATTTCCATTTGGTAACACATGGAAGCTTGGGGAGCAAGGCTGCATGTATTGAGGGGTCTAATTTTTAAGTATCTTGTGTCATCGTTCCCCCTCCCCTTAGATCTAAAATACTAAGTCGTTTTAAAGACAGACAAAAATGCCTTGCTGTAGTAGGTAGAAATATTTCTTCTCAGAAAATCTGAGTTATGCTTTATTAAATATGTAATAACTCTCGTTTAATCCCTCCCTCCCCCCAGTTCAACAGAAGAAAAGTAATGGACTCTGACGATGACGACAATTACTGAATTTCAGACGCAGACACTGGGACTTAGTGGAACAATTCCAGGACAGATAATACTTGGCAGTTAAGATCTGATTGAATGTTTACTTTATTGTTTATATACCTTTAGAAAAATAAACTTGTTATGTAAAATAAAACAATTTGGGCAAAGTTATTTTAGTACTGTAGCTGAATGAACAGGAGATCTGCATTTTGCATTTTTTCTTTTCCTACGAGAAACTTTTACACGTGTAGCAGCATGGGTATATCCTTTGTAATTGTGACATTAGTGCTTGGGAGGAAAATGGCCATAGCAGAAACAAACTGCTTGAGTAGTCTTCAGTATGAAGAAAATAGCACCTAGTAATGTCATGGGAGTTAAAACCCGTGGATTAAGCTGAATCAGCTTTAATATCTAATGTTTCTAAGACCTAGGTTCTGAAAGCAGGTGAGTTATTTTTCTTTCTGCAACAGTACTTATATTTAATGTAAGAACATTCCCAGCTTTGGTTTCATTTATAATCTGCTTTTCAAAAGCATCGAGGCATATTACATTTTTATTTTTTCCTTTATTGATTTTTAGAGAGAGAGGAAGTAAGGAGAGTCAGAAACATCGATCAGAGAGAACATCGATGGCCCCCTCCTGCATGCCCCCCACTGGGGATTTGGCCCACAACCCAGGCATGTGCCGTCACCTGGAACCAAACCGGAAACCTTCTGGTGCATGGGTCAATGCTCAACCAGTGAGCCACACCAGCCAGGCGAGGCATATTAAATTATTTAACAAATATTACCCCTATCCAAAAAACCTCTATCTAGAGTGATACTTCCATTGAAAAGAATTCCCAAAATAACTGGAAAATACTGGGAATAATACTTCAACAATAATAAACATGTTTGTAAGTAAGAGTAATGACTAAACATGTTTGTAAGAGAAATGATTGCAATCTAGTTGAGAGAATTTAACTACAGTTAAACATTTTTTTTTTTTTTTTTTATCCTCACCCAAGGATATTTTTTCCATTTTTTGTACAGATAGAGTGGGAGGGAGAGAGAGGAAGGGAGAGAGAGTGAGAAACATCAACGTGAAGGGACACATCGAGTGACTGCCACCCACACGAACAACCAGGGCCGGGGACAAACTGCAACCGAAGTACATGCCCTTAGCGGGAACCGACCCCGGGTCTCTCCGGACCTCAGGCTGACGCTCTAACCGCTGAGCCAAACTGGCCAGGGCACAGGTAAACATTTTGGTAGAAATGTTCTGGGTTCTTCACTGATAAAGTTGCAGGTAACTTAAAGCACATGTCATCTCTCATACTGTGCTTCACTCCTATTAGGTTATGAAACCTTTGCTCATAAATTTAACTCTAAAGTGAGCTGTTTGGTGTAACCTTTTAGATGTCTTAGTACTGTGAGACTCAGTCCAAGAGGAAGTTATAACGTTTAATGAGATGAATAGAATTAGTAGCAGAGAAGTGCTGGGAAGTGTGGTTCACAATCTAATCTCTGCTTTGGCTAGCATACTGCTGATGTATGTTTAAACTACATTTGAGAATTTACTCTATTTAATTACTCTTGAAATGTGTAAACTAACTGTAGTCAGTGAAGCAAGTCAGTGTTGGAATTAAATGTCTAGCCTTCCTGAATGAACAAGTGAATGAGTAGAACCATTAAGAACATCAAGATTGTTTTAAAGAAATAGAATTAAAGAGTCAAAAGGAAATTTTCATCAGATTTTGAAAAAAACCAAAACCTCATTACAGGTAAATTTTGCTTTGGTTCTCATTTACATAAACATGCTGGAGGGAGACTAGACAATTCTCAGCAAGTCTTGTTAATGCTTTCTCTTGCAGAATAACCACTGTCCTAACGGCAACTACTGATGTGAATGTGTGTGTTGTTCTTTTTGCCCTGGCTGGTTTGGCTCAGCGGTTGGAGCATTGGCCTGCGGTCCGGAGAGACCCGGGTTCGGTTTCCGCTAGGGGCACGTACCTTGGTTGCAGTTTGTCCTGGGCCCTGGTTGGTCATGCAGGTGGCAGCCACTCAATGTGTCCCTTTCACGTCGATGTCTCTCTCTCTTTCTCTCTCTTCCTCTCTCTCCCTCCTGCTCTACCTGAACAAAAAAATGGAAAAGTGTCCTCTGGTGAGGATAAAAAAATAAATAAAATTGTTTTTTTTTTTTTTTTTAAATCCTTACCCGAGGACAGTTTTTTGCATTTATCTTCAGATAGAGTGGGAGGGGGAGAGAGAGAGAAACATCGATGTGAGAGAGATACATCGACTGGTTGCCACCCACAACCCCAGCCAGGGCCGGGGACAAACTGCAACTGAGGTACATGCCCTTAGCGGGAACTGAACCCAGGACTCTCAGGTCCGAGGGCCAATGCTCTAACTGCTGAGCCAAACTGGCCAGGGCTGTGTTGTTCTTTTTAAATTTATTGAATCAAACCAGTGACCTCTTAGTGCATGGGTCGATGCTCAACTACTAAGCCACATCGGCCTGGCAAGAGTCACAATCTTTAAACATACTTACATCATGCCCAGCTGGTGTGGCTCAGTGGTTGAGCATTGACCCATGCACCAAGAGGTCACCGTTCGATTCCTGGTCAGGGCACATGCCCAGCTTGTGGGCCTGATCCCCAGTGGGGGGCATGCAGGAGGCAGCCAATCAGTGTTCTCTCTCATCGATGTTTCTATCTCCCTCTTCCTTCCCCTCTCTCTCAAATGAATAAAGAAAAAAAATTAAAAAAAAACAAAACGCCCTGGCCAGTTTGGCTCAGTGGTTGGAGTGTTGGCCTACAGACCAATGAGTTGTGGGTTCGATTTCAGTCAGGGGCGCGTGTCTTAGTTGCGGTTTGTCCCCGGCCCTGGTCGGGTCCTGTGGGAGGCAACCAGTCAGTGTGGCTCTATCACATTGATGTTTCTCTCTGTCTCTCTCCCTCCCTCCCTCCCACTCTATCTGATAATAAGTAGAAAAATATCCTCAGGTAAGGAATCAAAAACAACAAAAAGATTGTCACTCTTGTGCTTCAAAGACACATGAGAATGGCAAGTGGTTCTGAATACAAGGATAGAAGTTCTTGAAGACAGTAAGGGTGAAATACATTTTGGTTTAGGGAGTGGTTATTCTAAACTGACAATACTTTGAATTCAAAACTTTCAACATTGAAATTTGGGCATTAGCAATTTCTGAGTTGTCAAATCAAGTTTAGTTTTAAGTGGGGAAAGCAACTGGAGAAAAAAAACAAGTGTTTTTAAATACAATCAAGGTAAATCACTTCAGATGGCTCACCCAGCTGATTGCCAGAGTAGCTCAAAATGAAAGTCCTCGCCTAAGATTGACAGCCCCATTCAGGGTATTTATACCTCCAGGTAAAGGATACACCAAGCTGGAAACTGCCAATTCGGATGATACCACCAACCACCGCCAGTCGTGCCTTGTCCCCAGCTCTGATAGTGAAAGCAGATTAGGCCCCTTATTTCTCTCAGCCTGATTTCCTCGTTTGACAATTCTGCCTGCCAGGGCAATTATTAAAGTTAAATAGGGGAATGCATGAGTTTTCAAAATTAATTGTCCCACCCAAGAATTTTGGTGGTACTGCCATGGCCAGTGTGACTTGGTTGAGCTTCCTCCCGTGCATTGAAAGGTTGCCGGTTAGTTTCTGGTCAGGGCACATGCCAGGGTTGCAGGCTTGATCCCCTGTAGGGGGTGTGCAGGAAGCAGCCAATCAGTGTTTTGGTCTACTATCGATGTTTCTCCTTCTCTCCCTCTATCTCTAAAAATAAAACATTTAAAAAAAAGTTGGTGGGCCCTGGACAGTGTGCTCAGTGGCTACAGTGTCGGCTTGTACATGGTGTGGATTTGTTTCCTGATCAAGGGTAGGTACCTGGGTTGCAGGTTTGATCCCTGGCTCTGGTTAGGGCGCATACGGGAGGCAACCAACTGATGTGTCTCTTTCACAGTAGTGTTTCTCTCTCTCTCTCTCTCTCCCCCCCCCCTTCCTCCCTCCCACTCTCTCTAAAAATCAATGGAAAAAATATCCTTGGGTGAGGATTAACCAAAAGAAAATTAAAAATCTTTTTTTTTTTTCCTGTAGTATGTGCCCCTAGCGGGAACTGAACCCGGGACTCTCTTGTCCGCAGGCTGACTCTCAACCGCTGAGCCAAACTGGCCAGGGCGAAAATTAAAAATCTTGATGGTACCTCTGCATATTGAAAATGACTGCTGATAAAACTACACAGGATGTGGTTTCTTAATTAGTATGATCGAGAACCATAGCAACTTAAGTCAATGAGTTGTTTTGTTCAAAAGTGGGGAGCCCAGGTGGTGTGGCTCAGTGGACTGACCGTTGTCCCAGGGACTGGGAGATCCCGGTTCCATTCCTAGTCAGGGTACATGCCCAGATTGTGGGCTTGATCCCCAATAAGGGGCATGTAGGAGGCAGCTGATCAATGATTCTCTCTCACATCGATGTTTCTCTTTCTTCCTTTCTCTCTCTCTAAAAAATCGATAAAAAATATATTGATTTTTTGAGAGACAGGAAGAGATAAATAGAAACATTGATTGGCTGCCTCCTGCATGCCCCCTACTAGGGATCGAGCCCACAACCCGGTCATGTTCCCTGACTAGGAATCAAACCTGGACCTCTCAGTCCCTGGGATGATGCTCCATCATGTGGCTGGGCAATAAAAACATACTAAAAAAGTGGGGAAAAGGATGAAAAAAATGATCAAATTGGCAAAGCAACAGTTCTTATTTCCTGTGTAGGCTAAGAAGCTGTAATATATTAATTTTCTGATTTTAAAAGAAAACTAGTGGGCCCCAGACACTGTCTAATGTACAGTCAGCCCTAGTCAGGGGAGATGGGTAATGATCTGCTCTGAATGGTCCAGTTTACATTTCATTCTCAGTCACATCTATAACTGGAAAATAAAATGTATATCCATCCAGCCTGACTGGTGTGGCTCAGTGGTTGAGTGTTGACCCACACACCAAGAGATCGCCGGTTTGATTCCTGATCAGGGCACATGCCCAGGTTGTGGGCCTGATCCCCAGTGGGGGGCATGCAGGAGGCGGCCAATCGATGTTCTCTTTCATCGATGTTTCTATCTCTCCCTCTCCATTCCTCTCTCTAAAATCAATAAAGGAAGAAAA